TCTGTTCAATTCCATGCACCAATTAGGCTTTGCAACAGGCAATTCGACAGGAAAGCACAAACGCATCACGCAAACATCGTTCAATGATCATAATAAGTTAGTGTAGAATGGATATCGATGAGACTAATGTTTTTTTACAAACGAGTAAAATTTAGTGCAGGAAGAAGCCAATGTGAACCACTTAAGCACCCCTCTTTCGATCCCCAAGTTGAGCGTCCCAACTGTCAGCAACAACGGGCTCCCAAGCTTCCTTCACTGCTTCAATATATTTGACTCATAGTCAGGCAAAATAACTAACACACAGGATGGATGGCAACGAAAGCAGTAAAAATAAGTGAAGACTGTAAAAGCAATGCCTACTGAGCAGTCAGGTCAAAGACCAAATACTTGACTTAGAGGGAGGGGGTGAGCTGAGAAATGGGATGATGGGCATTGTGGATGACGCTGAAGATAAAGGTGGAGGCAGCATCGAATTCCTTTTAGGATGATAGAGTGAATTCCTTATGAAGTCAACCCGTGTCACTTTAGAGAGTAGTGGAATGAGAAAAGATTGAGCTCTCGACTCACACACAGCTGTCATTCCATGCCCGTTTATCACCCGGCCTTCCACTCGCACTGGTATAGTGACGTATAATCGCCACAAGGTAAAGCAGAAAATAAATGTCAAACAATAAAATACACTATAACGCCAGGTATCAGAGCTTGTCTAATTCTTCTTCACATAGTAATCCGCATAAGGAATGCAGCTGTTCTTCCATAAATCCATGTGGAAGAGTCCATACATAGACACAGTTCATGTTGCCATCTCAAAGCACCGGTTTGGTGTGTGGTAAATCTGCTGCTACAGGGATGGTCGCCTATCATCTCTAGCAAAGAAAAGGACGTTGTCAATTTCATTGTAAGTCACTTATACATGCACATGAGAAAATAAAATTGACGACAGAAAACGGTACGGGAATGTCATCACAAAAATAGGCATTTTAGTGGTTTATCAGCAATCTACCTGGAGTACTTTGATCATTTGATATCCCACTCGAAGTAACGGCCTGTCTAATTAAGGATGGCAAAAGATTAGGTTGCATTACGCGAGAAGACACTAATTCCAGGGCTACGAATTACAAGTCAAGAAAGGAATCGCCCAGTATTCTCTCGATCATCAGCAGTTTTAAGTCAGACATTGCTTCTGGAAGCGAGTTTCGTTGAATCCATAATGGTCCAGTGTCTTGATAAGCGGAGGCACTTTCACTAGAACTGGATAAGGGAGCGTTAGCCTCCACCAATTGCGCAGAATTGGAATCTGATTCGTTCGATGCCTTCTCCTCCTCCACCACTTCTCCATACTCCTCTGACAATGCTTTGGATTATTCATGCTCATCTGAAGATGGCGGCATAGCATACTAACCATCCATATTACCATAAGCTACAAATCTGACTTGAACTGCCAGGAAAGAGAACTCCACAGTGCCCAAAATAGGTATATTCAAAGTAGAGTTCTTAAAGATGTATCACTTAAAAATCCTCCATGAAAAACCATTTAAAGCCCGACCAGTCAGCCTTACCGCTTTTATTGAAGTATGCCCATTGCTTATGGCGGTGAAATGGTAGGAGAAATACACGCATGAATCAAGAGTATTTCGCAAATGCTAGAAATGATGGTACTTAAAACATCTGAGTAGGACCAGGTAATGATATATTTCGGATCACATATGGCCATTCAGCATCCATCTAGGGGATGTCTGACAAGCTGTGGCACAATATATAAATTGGGCGCTAACCGCTACCCGTATTTCCGGTGGGGACCATAGCTTGAAGCACCCAGAATTGTGCATCACTCTGGCAGATTTGGGGCAGTCTTCTATCCTAGTTAAGCGAAAAGGACTCACACATAAACTGATTGAAAGAAACTAACATTTGAGCAACATTGGCTGGACAGTAGGAATGGTGGAGGAGGCGCCATTGAAAATCAACCCCCATTTGGCTATGCTATGCTAATTCGCCTGATTCGTCGGAGGCTTTGGAGTGACTTGAGAGAAAAGTATGTCAACACCACATGAATGCCTGATTCTGTTGATGACGAGGGTAAAGTTGTCATATTCCTGTCCCATTTGAGTCCTCGTTCATACGTGGATCAATAATGCAACATAAACTGTGGAGCTTAGATCCCATCGGAGAAGGTGGTGTCATACAACACTGCATCCAGGTGATTTTCCCTTCTTCCCCACCACGCTTATAACTTCCTCTTCCTGAGGACATTAACTTTGACATCCGATTACTTCGGCTTTGCTAAAATGGAGAAAGTAGTTCCTACTTTTGACGGCATGCTTTCCTCTTCATTAAAGTGGTGCTCTATCTCTAACCCATCAGGACATGGAAATGCTTCCTTGGTCTTATTCACTACATCTGATGCAACAAATGGAGTTGCAGCATGAAATTTGACGGAAGGCAATTAATGGTAAAACACAAGATGTTTGAATCAGAGAGTGTAATCTTAAAAGTTAGCACTTTAGTGCTTTCATCAACAGACGTGAATCCACACATCACCTCGTGGACTAGGACTACATCCGTTTAATCGTAAAATTCTGAGTATGGGCTGCTTTCGTTAATTGCTTGTAAAAGTGGCCAATTTGGGGAGGAGCCACGGGGAAAGTGCTAGTATAGCAGCTGATAAAATGATTCAAGTTCAACTCTCTCAAGGCGGTCTTCATGTATGATCTTCACAAGCATGCGATTTCTACGACACTGTTCTGTCACAGCAGATGCAAATGGAGGAGGAAGAGGAGGAGGATGAGGAGGTAAAAGGTGATTGTAAAGGGTCAAGCCTTGAATCACTCAATGAAGTCTAAACCGTCTTACTCCAAACCGCAAATTCTCATCTCTTGCTACCATAAAATGGAATGCAAAGAAGTAACACTTTGCTGCTCATTGCATGGTTGGATGTACAAAGAGATGTGAATGGTGCTCAGTGGTACAAATCGCCCTATTCTCACTAGAGCCCAATTAACTACACTTAGTGGAAACATTGAACAATGTACGCGGGTTCCGTTTGTTTGTGGTTAAACGGCCACCGACAACGAACAACGGTTGATGCTCAGTACTATTTGGAGAGTAGAATAACTAAGCCTGAACTTAGATAGGGACTCTGTTGTGAGTTTTGCCACTAGTATAGTTGTTGATGAGACGCCGAACAGATAGTCCTTGTGGGTAGAGCAATGTCCTCTCATATATGGCATAACTAAATCAGTACGTTGGTGTTGGATTACTTTTGTGTGAAAAGAGGAGATTACAAGAGAATGACATACTTGCAGCATCAAGTTATACCCAATTTGGCATCACAGCTTGGACCAATTTCCCCACCCTTGACTGAAGTAACTAAGAAAGGAATAAAGTAGGCCTAATAGAAGTACTTTATATGCTATTCGAGAATTAGTTAATCCAAAAAATGGCAGCAGCATTAATTTGAATATAAAAAATGGCGCTGTTGCATTGCCTGCGACATGGAAATCGAAAATAGAGAAGTGTAGGCTTGGCGAAGGCAAGGTATGGGCTGTGAATCTGGCAGTGTCTGAAGGTATTACCAATTTGCAGAGAGCAAAGCGGGAGCTTAAGCTAGAATTACCACGGTGAAGGCAACCACGAGCCCAGAGATGACCGAGATGAAGGCAGCTCCGCCGGATGTAAAAACGATATCTGCCACCTCTGCGTAAATGGACAAATTATCATTCGATGTAAAGATGTCATCATAATCACAACTAGTAGCTTACCAGTGGGCAGTGTTCTAATTGTTCCAGATAAAAATATGTTTTCTCTACCCCCAAAAGACTCTATTATCACCCTGTATGACGTGTTAGGTTCCAATCCGACAAAAGTGCTCTTTCCGACCTCGAAATCTGCCTTTTTAGTCTTGATGGAAGCATTTGAAGAAATTGGCTCTGCAGTCATAACGAGGTAGTACCAGGGCTCTTCACCCATTTTTGTGACATCCCATCTCAACTCTAAGACGGTAGAGCCCAGACGACTCCAGTAGAAGTGTTCTGGAAGTGTGTAGTTTATTTTCGTGTCCTCTGCAACACATCGAGATAGATAACAATGTTGAGTGGAAATAGTGAGGATAAACTGAATCAATTAGGAATCGAAATATGGAAAATTCACTACTACCACAATGGCAGTAGTAGTAGTGAAATTGGAAGGGAGCAAAAATTCTTCACCAGTTCTGCCATTAAGTTGCAACAACTGACTTGTGCGCTGTACTGGAGGGAAGCGTTAGTGGTTGTCATCCTTCAAAGTGAACGTATGCATCGTTATCATGTGCACGTGCGAAAAAGTATGCCTTGCATGCATAGATGGAGGCTCTACTTGTTCCGGTCCAGTCAATTTCTTGCTTTCACATTTCATCCCATTCCCTCGGTGGCTGGTATTTGCAGTCTACATCTCCATCTAATGGGTGTTTGTGCACAACGCACCAAGGAGTTGATTGAAATGGAGCATTTGTAGAGATGGTGCATCCATGGCAAAACGAGCATGAACATCAGTGTATGTGTCAGTGGAACAGAGTGCGGATTATTGCTTCAACTGATGTGTTTCCACTACACACAATGCGTGGCACGTGCCGCTCATTTCGTGGCAAGTACAACTACCAGCTAGTGTGAAGGCAGGAAACTCCCCACGATGTGGAGAATATGAGGGGTTCAAATGGGATGTAACTGTCCATGGCCAAAGGCTGAAGCAGCACATGTGGAAAATGGAAGCAAATAACCGACGTCACAAATGCATGAATGGTGATGGATGTAAGTGTGAATTAGTG